ACATGGTGACACACAGGCAGACATGGTGCTGGAGAAGGAGCTGAGAATTCTACATCAGGATCTGCAGGAAGAAGGCAGAGAGAGCCACTGGGCCTGACTTGAACATTTAAAACCCCAAGGAACCCCCTCCAACAAAACCACACCTACCCCATCAAGGCCAAACCTCTTAATCCCTCTAAGTAGTGCCACTTCCTAATGACTAAGCATTCAAATATATGAGCCTATGGGGGGTCATTCTATTTCAAACCACCACATTCAGTTGCTTTACACATGTGAATAGAGACCAGATGTCAGTGTCAGGTTTCTTTTTGGCTCAATCCACCTTATTTTTTGTGACAGGCACTCAGAGTGAACCCAAAGCTCATTGATTTGGCTAAGGTACCTGGTCAGTGAGCTTCAGGGGTGTGTGTGTGTGTGTGTGTGTGTGTGTGTGTGTGTGTGTGTGTGTATGACTATAATGATTTTTTTTAAAGACTGAAGATGTGGCTCAGTTAGTGGAATGCTTGCTTAGCATGCATGAAGCCCTCTATTAGAGTTTTCACCACTAGTTTTAAAAACTAAGCAAACAAACAGAAAAAAAAATGGCATGTTGATGGACACCTATGATCCTGCATGCAGGAGGTAGAAACAAAACCATTAGTGAATACCAGACCAGGCAGTACTATACACAAAGAACATTCTGGAACTTGTAGGGGAGGCTCTCTTTTTACTTCATTGTATGGAGTTATGCTAGTATGAATTAAAAGTGGATATAAAATAATTCTATTATATAAGGCATGAAGTTTTGAAGCATGTGACAAGAGACAGAAAAAATACTCTGTTCATTGCAAGAAAACCTTTACTTAAGATTCAGAGAGCCACAAGTACTTAAAACTCATGAACTTCTGATTGCCCTGAAGCAGTCCAGGACTCTATCAGGAACTGGCCATATGTTAATTGTACTGGTCTCTCTGTTGCTGACATTCTTTTCCACATTCTGGATACTCAGCTACAGTGCATTGCACATTTCCTCTCAAATGCCTTCACTAGTTTCTTTTTCATCAGAATCATCAGTGATTCCCAAAGTGGGTAATAGTAAAAGTCTTTCTGTAATTTCTGTAGAATTCTTATATGAATATAATCTTCAGTACAGAAACAGGTCATTACCTCTATTTTCATGAGCAAAGCAATCAAAAGAGTGTAGGTTCTAGATAGCAGACATGAGTTCCTTCTGCTTGGTGGAAACTGCTCTATGGAGGGGCTGCTAATGTAGAACACAGGTCAGGATTCTGTTGCTGAAGCCATCTTTTTTCATTATTTTTTTATTTTTGAATTTATATGTTTTTCACAATTTCATGAATATGTGTACTTTGCTCAAAATCCTCCCCTTTTTGAGAAAGAGTTTCTGTAAATAATTTGGATTGGCTTGGGACTTACAACATAGTGCAGGCTGCCCTTGAACAATAAGTAATCCTCCTGCCTCAGTTTTGGCATGCTGGGATTGCAGGCATGTGCCAAAATACTAGTGCTAATGCTGTTTTGGTGGATGTGGTGGGAGGAGGGGGTCTCATACTGTAGATCAAGCTCTCTTGAAACTCACTATGTAAGCTAAGGGGACCTCAAACTGAGCCCCTCCCCTCTCCTTTCATTCAATGCTCACGGTGTAGCCCCGGCTGTCCCAGAATTTGCTGTGTAGACCAGGCTGGCCTACCATGGAAGTCTATCTGCCCCTGCCTCCTGAGTGCTCCAGATAATGGTGGTGCAGGCCTGTAATCTCAGAACCAGGATGTAGGAGTGTCATGTAGTTGGAGTTTTCTCCAGTCCTGCCCAACCCCATGGACCCCGCAACTACTTATAAAATAATCACCCAGAAGCTTATATTAATTAAACTGCTCGGCCATTAGCTCAGGTCTACCACTGACTAGCTCTTACACTTAAACTCAGCCCATTTCTGTTCATCTATATGTCGCCACATGTTCCGTGGCTTTACCTGTTGCCTTTACATGCTACTCCCTGGATAGCAGGCTGGCATCTCCTGACTCAGCCTTCTTCTACCCAGCATTCCCTTCTCTCCTTGGCCCTGCCTACACTATCCTTCCTGCCTGGCTACTGGCCAATCAGCATTTTATTTATCAGTCAATCACAGCAACATATATTCACAGCATACAGGACATTCCACAGCAGTATCAGGAATTCAAGGTCATTTTTAGCTCCACAGCAAGTTCAAGGAGATCTTATGATGTCACCCAGAATTTTGTATTCACTAGTTAAGTATTTTATCACTTAAGCTATGCACATCCTTATTTCCTCTTATGGAACTTTCACTATTTTTTAATGTATTTTAAAATACATTAAATTTTTATTTGTTTTTCGGTGGGGGGGGATGTACTGAGGCACACATGTGGAGGTCAGAGGACCACTTGATGAGTTAGCTCTCACTTCCACCACATGGGTCCTTAAGATGTCTTCACTCATTGAACAGTCTTTCTGCTGCTCTTATGGACTTTCAAAAACTGCCATATGTCAGAACCTGTCCTAGATTCACTTCTCTTACTGTGATAAAATATCCTGACCAAAAAAAACTTAGGAGAGAAGGACTTTATTTTAGCTTATAATTCCAGCTAGCTACATCATTCCCACGGTCAGAAATGAATGCAAATATCCACCCCTAATAAACCAAGTCAAATGTAATTTCCTCCATGAGAGTACTCCACCCTCAACCCCATAGCCTACAGAAATTCCCTTCTCTCTGATACCATAATGCTTTGGATGTTTACACACCCAGAAACATGACTTAGGAAAATTAAATGGGACAAAAAGAAAGAGAACTATGCCATGGGGACTTAAGAGTGGGTGGGTTTTTTTCCATGAAGCCCAGAAGATATGTAGGAGAGCTCTGTTTATAAAGATGGTATTAAGGACCAGAGCAAAAACCTTGAGAGACTAGTGCATGTCAGAGCTAGGGAAGTGCTGATGTCCTGACCCAGAATAGCCTAGAAAGTACATTTTGGGCCCCAAATATACATGGCTCAGCCCAGACAGAAGGGTGGGGTGACCTTCCTACCAGCCGCATATCCCAGGGATGAGTCAACACAAGGCCTCAACTCCAGTATTCAGTGGTTTGGGACAGAAGAATATAAGTTTTCTTCTGAGATTGAGAGAAAGTCTAGAACTTTCTTACTATTTTTGATAATCCCTCTGCTTGGCCTGGAGTTACAAGTGGTTAAAGTGCACTAATCAGTCACAGTAGCATCCACCTGTAATCCCAACACTTGAAGTGCTGAGGTAGGAAGATTGCCAAGAGTATGAGATATAGCTATGAAAATGCAAAACACAAATCATTAAATACCTTACCTTAGCCTAAAGCCTTCCAGTGGTATTCTGACACCTGCAGGCTAAAGCCCAGACTCCTTAGTAGAGATAATACAGTCAATCTCATCTCCTATAAAAGTACTCAGCTCCTGAAAGCCTAAACTGACAAAATCCTGTTTTCTGATTTCATTACTCCACTAGATGATAACTGGGTTGTTCCCAGGGTCAGAACGTCCTCCCATGTTTATCAGGAAAACAATTACATTTCTTCTAGCTTCATTTCACTGAAGAAGTAATCTACAACCACAGATGCCTCCACAGGCTTAAGTCCATCCCCCTGCCTTGAGCTCGCATAGCTCTTTTTTTTTCCTACACAAAAATGAATTTGTAGCCAGGCAATGGAGGGGCAAGCCTTTAAGTCCAGCACTTGGGAGGCAGAGGCTGGTGGATATCTGTGAGTTTGAGGCCAGCCTGTTCTACAGAGCAAGTACCAGGACAGCCAGGGCTACACGCAAAGAAACCCTGTCTCCAAAAACCAAAATCAACTTACCAACCAAAACAAAACAAACCACATGTATTTGTAGAAGTAAAACACAATATCCGCCGGGCGGTGGTGGCGCACGCCTTTAATCCCAGCACTCGGGAGGCAGAGCCAGGCGCATCTCTGTGAGTTCGAGGCCAGCCTGGACTACCAAGTGAGTTCCAGGAAAGGCGCAAAGCTACACAGAGAAACCCTGTCTCGAAAAACCAAAAAAAAAAAAAAAAAAAAAAAAAAAAAAAAAAAAAAAAAAAAAAAAAAACCACAATATCCTCCAAAAGAAAGTGTGGATTTATGGGGTCAGAGATGTGGCTGGGAAGTGATACACAACTCTGGAAAGGAGCAAAGCACCAAGAGTGCTGAGTTTGAAAGCCAGCTCCTAGCTTTGATGCATCTGGGGTCTTAGATCATTTACTCTACTTCTCAAGGTCTCCATTGGGCTTTATTGTTGTTGTTTTTGCCATGCTGAGGATCTAATGCACAGCCTTGCACATGCTAACACTGAATTATGACCACAGTTTCCCCTCCTTCCTCTCCTCCTGCTCTTCCTTCTCCCCTCTGCCCCATTGTTAGGAGTCCCACAAATAGAGCAAGCTACATAACTGTCACATATATGTAGAGGGCTTAGGTCAGTCCCATGCAGACTCCCTGGTTGTTGGTTCAGACTCTGTGAGTTCCTATGAGCCAGGTTAGTTGTTTCTGTGGGTTTTCTTACTGTATCCTTGACCTCTCTGGCTCCTGCAATCCTTCTTTCCTCTCTTCCGCAGGATTCCCCGAACTCAGTCTGTTTAGCTGCGGGTCTCTGCATCTGTTTCCATCAGTTACTGGGTCTGAAGGCTCTCTGATGACAATTGAGGTAGTCACCAATTTGATCACAGGGAATGGCCAGTTCAGTCTACCTATTCACTATTGTTAGTAGTCTTAGCTGGGGTCATCCTTGTAGATTGTGGGAGTTTCCCTTGTATCAGGTTTCAACCTGACCCCCAAAAGCCTCCTCTTTCAGTACTCTCCCCCTCCACCCACCCACCCAACCAAATCTCTCAAGTTCCTCATCCCTACACAACCCCAGTCTACTCAGGAGATCTCTTCTATTTCCCCTTCCCAGGGAGATCTATGCGTCCACCCTTAGGCCCTCCTTGTTACCTAGCCTCTCTGACACTGTGGATTGTAGCAAAATATGGAACTCTTCATAAATCTGCGTGTCATCCTTACACAAAGGCCATGGTAATCTTCTCTGTATTATTCCAATTTTAATACATATGCTGCAGAAGCGAGCACTAGAGTTCTGACATTCTAAAATTATTTGTTATTATATTAGGGGCATGGGACCTAGGGCCTTGCACATGCTAGGAAGTCCTGATATCATAGGATTTTTTTTAATATTGGGTGAAGGCGTAATAATACTTAGAGATGAGAAGAAATGCATAACTGTTTTAGTTAGGTTTTAACTGCTGTGATAAAATGCCATAATCAAAAGCAACTTGTGGATGAAAAGGTTTATTTGGCTTACGTGTCCTGATCATAGTCCATCATAGAGGAAAGCCAAGGCAAGGACTCAAACAGGGAAAGAACTGAAGCAGAACCATGGAGGAACACTGCACACTGGCTTTTTCAGCTGGCTTTCTCGTACAACTCAAGACCCCTACCCAGAGTTGGCACTACACACAGTGGCATGGGCCTCTCCACATCCATTATTAATACCCCACAGAGTAGCCTACAATCTGATGGAGCCATTTTCTCAGTTGAGGTTCTTCTTCCCAGATAACTCTAACTTGGGTCAAAATGACAAAAAAAAAAAAAAAAAAAAAAAACAACCTAACCAGAACAATAATCAAGAACTAGCCTGACACCCCACAATAGATATTTCAGATGTAACTGGCAAACATCTTGTGACATTTTCAGCATAGGAAAAGGCCTATTATATAAAACATTCTACCCAGAAGTCCATTTAGTGCTTTGTAGGTCACTAAGCCCCTTCACAAATATTCCATTTTCCAGCAGACAATGAAAGAGGCAAATAGAGCAGCGTTTAAAGGCTCACCTCATTTTACAGAACAGAAAACTGACAAAAGAAAAGTGGTTATTCTAATAAGTTCTTGGACAACTTACAGTTTTGTTTTGTTTTAGGAGACTCGGTCTTGTGATATATCCTAGGAAGGCCTTGAGCTCATGATACTCCCATCTCGAGACTTCTGAATGCTGGGGTTACAGGTGTGTGGTAGCATACCTGGTGTGCTTTAAGGTTCAAATACTTGTATTTGCTCTATGTTGATTAACCAATCATTCAAATGTGCTTGCTGTGTAGGATTTGAAAGTTTGTTTTCTGTTTGTTTGTTTTGAGATATGGTCTTATGTATCCCAGGCTGCCCTCCAACACACTATGTAACCTAGAATGGAGGATGACTTGATACTCTTGCCCTCCACACATACCCACTGCCCTGTACCACCACACTTTATTTATTCTGTAATGGGGAGAGGCCCAGGGCTTTGTGCATGCTAGCCAAACACTCTGTCATTTCTGATATATGCCCAGTCAAACTTGCAATTTTTTTTTATCTTTGTGGATTTCTGTGGGCCTCTCTACAACTTTGCTTCTTCCTATTCTCATGTGGTCTTCATTTATCATGGCCTTTTATTCCTTGTTCTCCCTCTCTGTTCTTGATCCAGCTGGGCTCTCCCGCTCCCCTAAGCTCTCTTTCTCTCGATCCTTGCCCTTCATTACCCCCAATCACGTCCATGTTGTTCATGTAGATCTCATCCATTTCTCTGTCATTGGGCGATCCCTGCGTCTTTCTTGGGGTCCTGTTTTCTAGGTAGCCTCCCTGGAGTTGTGAGTAGCAGTCTAGTCATCTTTGTTTTACATCTAGTATCCTCCTATGAGTGAGTACATACCATGTTTGTCTTTCTGAGTCTGGGTTACCTCACTCAGGATGTTTTTTTCTAGATCCATCCATTTGCCTGCAAACCTCATGATGTCATTGTTTTTCTCTGCTGAGTAGTATTCCATTGTGTATATGTACCACATTTTGTTTATCCATTCTTCAGTTGAAGGGCATCTGGGTTGTTTCCATGTTCTGGTTATTACAAACAATGCTGATATGAACATAGCTGAGCAAGTGCCCTTGTGGTATGATTGAGCATTCCTTGGGTATATGCCCAAGAGTGGTATAGCTGGATCTTGGGGAGATTGATTCCCAATGTTCTAAGAAAGCACCATATTGATTTCCAAAGTGGTTGTACAAGCTTGCATTCCCACCAGCAGTGGAGGAGAATTCCCCTAGCTCCACATCCTCTACAGCATAAGGTGTCTTCAGTGTTTTTGATCTTAGCCATTCTGACAGGCGTAAGGTGGTATCTCAGAGTTGTTTTGATTTGCATTTCCCTGATGATTAGGGATGTTGAGCAATTCCTTAAATGTCTTTCAGCCATTTGAGTTTCCTCTGTTGAGAATTCTGTTTAGTTCTATAGCCCATTTCTTAATTGGACTGTTGGGCATTTTGAATTTTTACGTTGGAAAAGTCACAGATTAATTAGAAACTTTGTTTACCCTAGCTAAGTAACTAGTCCTTCCTGTTCTCAGTCACTTTTGAAACAAGGGGCTGTAGTTAGGGAGCAATAAAGTCCTATCATCTCTTACCCATGGATCCTGCCCTACATGAGACCAGGCAGATAACCCAGCCTCTGCTTTTCTTCTCTCAGGCTGAATTCCATCTTACTGTTTCTCATGGTTGAGTGATTCATTTCACTACGGTGAGAAGTTGTATAAAATTAACAAAGCACAGACTAATTGAATTAGAACCTTCTAATTTGAATGAAATCTGGGCACCATATTCTTTTTAAAAAACACTTTAGGATTTTTTTTTTAATCTATGGGTAGGAATAGTAACTACTGACTCTAGCTCTCTCTCCTTTTTTGGTTTTTTGGGGGTTTTTTTGGTTTTTTGTTTGTTTGTTTGTTTTGTTTTGTTTTGTTTTGTTTTTTTGGTTTTTCGAGACAGGGTTTCTCTGTGTAGCTTTGCGCCTTTCCTGGAACTCGCTTTGGAGACCAGGCTGGCCTCAAACTCACAGAGATCTGCCTGCCTCTGCCTCCCAAGTGCTGGGATGAAAGGCGTGCATCACCACCACCCGGCGACTCTAGCTCTTTTGCTTTTTTTTAAAAAAAATATTTTACCTCTTCTACTTTTAAGCAGAGACCCTGAATAGACAAACTTCATCCTTGGACTGGGGGAGATGGTTCAGTCAGTAAAGGTTTGCCATGAAACCATAAGGAACTGAGTTCATATCCCCAACCTAAAATGTTGAGGAGGCAGACAAGAGGATCCTTGGGGCTTGCTGGCCAACTAAGTCTAGCCAGTTGGTAAGCTCCAGGTTAAGTGAGAAAAACTAAGATGGAGAGTGATAGAAGAAGTAGAAGAAGATACCTAACATTGACTCCTGGCCTGCAGTGACCCCCCCAACACACACACACACAGATACATACACCATTCTCTCTCTCTCTCTCTCTCTCTCTCTCTCTCTCTCTCTCTCTCTCTCTCTCTCTCTTTCTCTCTCTCTGTCTCTCCCTCTCTCCCTATGTGACAAAAGGAAACCCTTATACTGGACCAATAAAAATGCAAACTTATGCATCCTCTATGTAACTTAGTATGATGCTTCCTCCAAGAAACGAAAAATAGATCAACTGTATAACCCAGCTAGTCCACTCCTGGGTACTTACCCAAGCACTTTGAGACAATGGATCACAGAGATACTTGCACATCAATCTTTATTGCAGCCCTATTCACAAGAGCTTAATTGTGGAACCAACCAAAGCATTCAAGAACAGAATGGATAAAGAAAACTTGGACCATTGAGATGTCTTGGCAGGTAAAGGCACTTGCAACCAAGTCTGAAGACCTGAGTTCAATCCCTGGAAACTACATGGTGAGACAGAACTGACTCCCATAAGTTGTCTACTAAGTTCCTCAGGTGCACATATGTACATGTACATACACACACACACACACACACACACACACACACACACACACACACACTATTTAAAAACAAAGAAAAGAAAATGTGCTACACATAATCTTGAAATCTGTAAGCGCAGGGAATCCTAAAATGAACTTGAAGGAGATTCTGCTTATGTAAAAAAAAATAATAGTTATTAAATTGTTCACATTAAAAAACTCCTCCTCTCTGAAGACCGCCTCGGCCTCTTGCCTTGCCCAGCCTCCCAGCACACAAAACTTCCTCTAGACACTTAGGAAAGGCCCTTTGCAGAATGCAGAACTCCTCCCCGTCCCTTTTCCTGGCATCTTAAGGTGATCCCTTTCCCGTAATTACTGGCATTTTTGCAAAACAATTTTGGAAAGCATTCAAGATTCAAAGGACAAAGCAGCAATGAAAGCCAGACTTCTCTTCAAAGGGATAGAACTCCCCTGCAATGACACACACACTCTAGGTAATCACTTACCTATCTTCAGCCTAATGATGAAACCAATTTAAACTGACCCCAAAGGAAAGAAGAGTACAAGAGTCCCAAGTTCCTGCTGAAACTCAGCCATTTCTCCAGGTCAGAGACTGTGGGAGAAGGGAATGGCCTTCGGATCCAGGAAGTGGGGGAAGGCTCATTTTGAAGGGTTAGGGGTAGTAAGCCAGACTTACTGTGGCATTTGCTCTAACACACTTAGGACCACTGAGCTTTTATTCCTTAGACCCTCTGCCCTTAACTTTCTTTAGGCAGGCAGTACAAGTCTGCAACATTGTTAAAGCCCAGTCTCAAAAATTAGATGGGAAGGGACCTATAGGTCATCTAACTAAATCCCTGACATTCTATGTGCCTCTAATGAGATGCTCACTCTTCACTGCCAGCCAGACATCTTACATAAGCCCAGGTGGCTTGATTGTCTGCTCAGAGTCCTTCAATACAAAAACATAGCTTTTTTTTTTCCTTTTGGTTTTTCGAGACAGGGTTTCTCTATATAGCCCTGGCTGTCCTGGAACTCACTCTATAGACTAGGCTGATCTTGGACTCAGAAACTGGCCTGCCTCTGCTTCCCGAGTGCTGCTGGTATTATAGGTGTGTGTGCCACCATGCCTGGCTGAGTGTTTTTATTTAAATTAAAATAAATTGACTAAGATTTCTATCCTCTGTGCCTCCAGCTCCTTGGACTGTTTCCTGCACTGATTTCCATTCCCACCCAGTCTACTTACTTTCCTCTGGCTAGATTCCAATTTGTCATTTATCTGCATGCCTTTTAACAAGCTAGATCCTAAAGAAATCTGCCTAATGT